GTCGGCGAGGTACGATATTACGGAAAGTATACGCCCTAGAGCTTCGAGAAAAAAATTTGGTTGAATAAATCGACCAAGAGAAATCGCTGGAAATAGTTTTCAAGTTCGTAGCTCGGTCGCTAGGGGGCGCAATCTACATACCAAAACATAAGAGCTGAATTTTTCTCAGAAATGTTTCCATATCCAGATAAATGACATTACGCATTCACCACGAAATAAAGCATAAAAATACCTTTCTAACGAGGTATAACACTATGGGCTTTTGATGAGCCAATCCTTAAAAAAATGCATTTTTCTGATCAGACATTAGGGGCTTCCCCTACCCTTTCTGTCCAGAGATAGAACAAAATGTTAATAACAAAAGTTATGAGCAATGAATCCGGCTATCCAGATTTGTACTATTTGTTATACCTGAATAGGAAACATTTCTGAGAAAAATTCGACTCTATGTTTTGGTATACAGTATGCGCCTAAAGTGTGGAGTAAATTCAGTAAAAACGAAACAAATTTTTATTGGGAAAAATCCTAGAACAGGTCGATCTTTAATTTAAAAAATACATATTTAAGCATAAAAGGTGATTTTCAACAGTCATTTGTCGAGTAATGACGTCATCGACATTTTTTTTAAATAGCAACCCCCTATTTGTTTTCTTGATTCTGAAAAATCGTTTCATTGTCGATCCGACAGTATTAAAATAGTGCCATCTTACATAGGAAAGTTTTCGAGTAAATGACGATTGAATGTTAGAAAACCCAAATCAATTAAAATAAAGCAAAAACGAAACGTTATCAAATTTAGTTTTTCGAAATGCCTGAAGTTTTTTATGGATCACGTAGGTGTAAATCTTTACAAAGTGTCACTGTCATACCGACTTTCTAAGATTGTAAGCGATATAAAAATTATTGTTGAATTTAAAGTATTATGGCACATTTAACTGTCACACAAAGAATTGAAATTTTAATTCTTATCGGATGCGGGGATAAGACTAGAACGCAGCAGGAAGTTTGCGATTTATTTAATGAAAAACATCCAGATCGCCGTATCAGCCAATCAACAGTCAGTAAGATAGAATCAAAATTTAGAGAAACTGGCAATGTTCTAGATATTCCAAAACCTGGATATCCAAGCGTTAGTGAAGATCACAAACAGAACATTTTGATAAGTATGGTAGATAATCCTCATAATACTTCACGATTGGTTGCATTAAACAATGAAATTAGTCAGACCACAGTGCTACGTATCCTGAGGCAGGCAAAATATCATTCCTACAAAATTCAACTAGTGCAGGGACTCAATGAAGCCGATCCCAGCCGCCGCTTACACTTTTGTGAAATTATGATGGATTTATGTCAAGTAAATAGAGATTTACACCGGCAAATTTTGTCTCATTGGTACAGTGAACCGTCAAACTTGCAGGTACTGGAGTCGGAAAAATTCTCATTGAATGGCAGAGACACATACTCAACACCCACAGAAATTAAATGTGTGGGCTGGAATAGTTGACAACAGAATAGTAGAGCCTTTCTTCTTTGAAGGAACTCTTACAGGAGAAAGATTTTTAGAATTTTTACAAAATGACCATGTTCCAGCGCTTGCAGTAATTTTTCCTAACGATAATGACCCTGATATTATGCTATGCGCGGTTCGAGATTTTCTGGACAATTGTTTTCCTAGGAGGTGGATCGGCAGACGAGGACCGATAGAATGGCCCGCGAGATCCCCAAACCTTACACCCCTAGACTATTTCTTATGGGGCTACTTAAAGTCCAAAGTGTACGTTAATAGACCGCATAATTTAGAAGAACTCCAAAATTGTATTATAGATGAAATTCACAGAGTTACCCCAGAAATAATTCATAATGTGCAAGAAGAATTTCTACACAGACTTCCGTATTGTCAAGAAGTCGGTGGGTGGCAATTCGAACACTTAATTTAGGTAGAAATCTTAACGAATTGTATTTCCTTGACATTCCTTGACAATTATTTTTTTAATGAATAAAATTTACGTTTTCTAACATTCAATCGTCATTTACTCGAAAACCTTCCTATGTAAGATGGCAACATTTTAATACTGTCAGATCGACAATGAAACGATCTTTCAGAATCAAGAAAAAAAATAGGGGGTTGCTATTTAAAAAAATGTCGATGACGTCATTACTCGAAAACAAATGACGGTTGAAAATCGCCTTTTATGGTAAAATATGTATTTTTTAAATTAAAACTCGACCTGTTCGAGGATTTTTCCCAAAAAAATATTCGTTTCGTTTTTACTGAATTTATTCCATACTTTAGGCGCGTACTGTATAGATTGCGCCCCCTAGCGGCCGAGCTACGAACTTGAAAATTATTTCCAGTGATTTCTCTTGATCGATGTATTGCACCAAATTTTTTCCCGAAGCTCTAGGGCCCATACTGTACATTTAGTGTGTAATAGTTGTAAAAAATGTAAAGTTGTTCCAACTATACAGGGTCGGAAAGTCCCCATGGTTCATCGGCCGTTACGTGAGAGCGATAAAGTAAGTCATAGAAATCGGTGCGATAGAGAAAGATGGCCATAATGAAGGCGTCTAATAGTCACCGCCCATTTCGCCCTTCCACAAATAAGAAGTGTATCTTATTTGTGGAAGGGCGAAATGGGCGGTGACTATTAGACGCCTTCATTATTAGCCATCCTTCTCTATCCCACGGATTTCTATGACTTTCTTTATCGCTCTCACGTAACGGCCGATGAACCATGGGGACTTTCCGACCCTGTATGTTCTCTAATGGTAGGAGCAGATAAATCGATGATTTATTTGTGCCAAGGCATACACAAAGTTGTGGTTTGCTATGCCTAAAAATCTGATGCTTAGAATAAAATAAGAAGTTAGAAAGGTTTAAAAAACTAAAGTACATTTAATTTAATCTTGGGACGTTCTGTAGCTTTTTAAATTTCTGATATAAAAGGCGTATTAGTTGAAGATTATTTATTATCATTACAGATCCACGACTTCATCTTTTATTATAAATTTGTAGATATACCCCTTCATATCCAAGTCCATCAAAAATAGGAATTATGTAGTTGCGCATCATTCGCATTCCGTAGATAACGTCGCCGTCGTCGTCGGTTCCACTACTTCTCAGAAAACGGTGAATTAATCACACAACTATTGATTCACGTAAACTTGGCACCGTCCGGGCAAAGTACCCAACTACATAGTCGAAAGGTCAATTTGACGAGAAACACGACATGTTTTTTTGAGTACAATTCCGCTTACTGTTATACTTTGGAGACATAAAAAAAATGAAACCATCTAGAAAACCCACATTTCCGCGTAGTAATAGGGATCAACGCTCCCAAAATATTAGTAGGTTTTTCAAGAGCTTTGACCCTTCGCCACATATATTACTACGGACAAAGTTAGAAAAAAAAACGAGTTTATGGCAAAGCATCGTTGAATAATTGTAAAAAACTGTTTTGTTGGCACACAGACTGAATCTGAACAGAGAATTTCAATTGGTTTTAGATAGAAATAGTACAAACTTTTGTCAATAATTTTAACTAATTTTAGGTAAAAAAAATATGGTAATATGGCATACATTTCAAAAGTTTGTCAGGACTACAAGTGATTTCAACATTTAAAAAAGTGAGAAAAAACAATGCTCTAAGGAATTTCATTGGGTCGACTTCAATACATTTTAGATGGAACTACGAGTATGATTGATATGAGAAATTCCAAAAATTTCTTTGAAACCATTATCGATTTATTTTACATAGCAATAGTCGAAATTGCAGACATATCAAAAGCTTTGTCAATTTATTTTAGATCAAAACAACACATTTCAAACATTTCTTTGGGAATAACTGTCGATTTCAACTTATTTTAAACGCAAATATGATTCATTTTAGAAATTTCTTTGGAATTAGTAGTAATTTGCAAGACTGCAAACATTTCAAAAATTTTATCAATATTACAATTGATTTCAACTTATTTTAGATTTAGTTTCAAAAATGCCATTGGGAATGCTGTCAACTTCAATTTATTTAGACGTAAATATGATTGAGTTTAGAACTCTCAACAATTTCTTTGAGTTTTAAAACCAAATTAGACAAGATTGTATATTTCAAAGGACTTGTGAATATTGCAAGTTATTTCAATTTATTTTAGATCAAAAAACATAATTTCATCGGGAATAACAAACTGTCAATTTCAACTTATTTTAGACGCAAATACTTTAGAAATTTCAATAGTTTCTTTGAAATTACTACCAATTTGCATGATTGAAGACATTTCAAAACTTTTAACAATATTACAAGTGATTTCAACCTATTTTAGATTTAAAAAGGCATTATTTAAGCAATTTCTAAAATGTCATTGGGAATACTGTCGACTTCAATTTATTTTAGATGAAAATATGATTAATTTTAGAAGTTTCAGCAATTTCCTTGAATGTAGTACGGATTTCAATTTATTTCAGATTGGAATTGGACAAGATTGTACATTTCAAGAGACTTGTGAATATTGATTTTAACTTATTTTACATATAAAATAAAAGTGTTGTAAGTAATTTGAAAGTTTTCATCGGGAATTAGAGAAAAATATGAATAATGTTAGAGATTTTATAAGTTTCGTTGAAATTACCGACTTCCGCATATTTTAGAGGGGAATATGACATCACTAATGGTATAATTTTAAGAGATTTCAAAAAATTTCATTGAGATTACCATTGATTACAATTTCTTATACAAAGAACTTATTTTATACAGGAATAGGTGAGGAAATAGATATGATTTCACAAATTTCGACTTACTTCACAGAAATTTTACATGTTCCAAAGATTTCAAGATATTTCAAAGTTTCTTTACAGACATTACTCTAGATCTACCACGTAAATACCTCTGGAATCTCACTTTTACATCTCCGCATTATCTTTTCACTGTCAAAATACGTAAAATCACCCATAATTCCCCGACCCATCGACCTGATTAAAACTGACCACAAGCGAAACCGGTACTGACCTGAAATCGAGGCTGAGGTTTCTCTGGTGGTTGCTCAGCCTGGCCTTGACGTTGAGCGGCGTCGTCTGGGGCCTGCCGTGCACCGAGGGCACGCTGTCCCTGCACCCCACCAGCTTCTGACGCTTCAGTGCCCCGGCGGGTTGCTGCACCAGCCCCGTGGACGCGGCTCCGCTCATCTTCAGACACCTAAGCCTAGCTCTTCATCTTACTAGGGAAATTTTGGGGGCTTCGGGGCGATACTGGGGGATTCCGGTGCTGATCTGTCGAAGGGGGATTCTCGTTTTAGCATTAAAAAGGTGAAATTGGGGTCGTGGCGAGTTTCTAAGCTTTTGACAAGGGTGCGTTTTGTTTTGACGTCGGACGATTTGACGGATTCAAAACGCTGGTATCTGTCAAGATCAAAGTCTATTTAAACCGGTTTTGGGTTTACCAATTTTCTTAACCGATAAATTGTTCGGTATGTCGTCACATTTCGTTATACAGGGCGATTCGCAAATTGTGACCAAAAATGAAACCTCGTATTTTTTTGTGAATTTTAATTATTTCCTATAAAGTTTTTATCTAGGACGCTTCGTTAAAAAGATACAGGGTGTTAAACTTAAAAAAATATTTTTAATTTTTTTAAATAATTTAAACACTAAGTAGTAGTGAAATAATTTGAAATTGGGCACATGAAAATTAGGCTTTTTTTCGAAAAACATAAGAGTAGTAATTTGTAGAAAATTGAAAGACAAATCCGAAAATATCATGGTCCTAGATAAAAACTCTCCCATTAAATTTCACCAAAGAATTCGAGGCTTCATTTTTGGTCACCATTCGTGAAGCACCCTGTATTTGTGGCACTTTATTATATTTTACAGCAAAATTAACAATTTATTAGTCAAATTGAAAGTTAACTTTTAGAATAAAAAACCAAAACAATAATATTATTATTAACAACTTATATAGAATATTTCTCATAACGTCATAAGTAGATACGATATACAACAAATAATTTCGAATTACGTTGCTTTTTTAGAAGTTTCAAGTTCTTGGAAGTATTAAAGAACCTCTGTTTCAGGAAAAAAATTAACTTCATTAAAAAAAATGTTGTAAATTAGTGTTTTTTTATTATATTTGATATTTAAAAATTAGTGAAATAAAACCTTATTCCAAAAGGATCAATCAAGGGTTATTTTTATAAAAATTATTTAGTCTAACCAAAAAATCGCACAATAAAAAAACAGACAAATAACAAAATATATATAAAAAAAATAAATTGGTATCGCGCACTTTAAAAAGTTGTTGTCCATTGAATATTTGAGTTTATAATATGTTTGCATTGCAATATTTTTTATTTTGGTTGATGAAATATGAAAATTTTATAATTACATTGGTGTATAAGTATACTTTTGTGTGCTATATTTTCCATAGCAAAAAACCTTTTGCTTTTCATACTGTATTGAAAACTATTTAATATTAAGTATGTAAAGGAACAGAGGATGGAATTATCATTGAAAATGAAATCAGAATTATCAAAATTTGCTTCAATGCCCAACGATGTCTAAATAAATAATTAATTTCAATTTTGAAGTTATTCATTACTAACTGTTTACTGGTTATTTGGGATATAATCCAATGCTAGATGTGTATACCTAGATTTTTGGTATCGAAGAACATTGTTGACTTCATATGAAAAGATTTAAAAAAAAATAAATGATAAAAATACAATAAAAAATCAAAATAATATATTAAAAATTAAATATTTGACTAAACAATTTGTGAAATGTGGTGTTTTTGTGAAAAAATAGTTTTCTCGTCTATTTCGGAAATAGATGGTTACTACTGAGAATTTAAGTTTACAGTAAATTTTTTTGAGAAAAAACCAGTAACTATGCTGAAGAAAATTATGTATTGTCATTCTGCAGATTTAGAATGAGTGGAATATAATTTAACATTTTCACTATAACAAATGTTCAGTTCAGTATAATCTTCCTCAATATTGTGTCATTTTATCATGTAGATATTAGGAAATTTTGTAAAATTTCCAAAAAATTTATTATGTTTCGGAAAATTTGTACTTCACTTTCAAAAATAATTTTTATACGGGGTGTTTCAGTTCGGGTATCTGTTGACATTTAGGTACACATGTGCATAATTTAATGTAAAATTTATATAATAATATAATTTATATAAGGCAATTCTGAATCTAAATTTTACCGAATTCAGTAAAAAGGCACTTTACCAACATTTTACTGAAAAATTACCTATTTTTTTTTTGTCAGACTACTTCTGTCGTAAAACTTGGTATAAGTAGTCTTTCCGAAGTCAGTTGATCATGTATAAAAACGCATAGCAATAAAATTTAATGAGTTTCATAGGCGTCCCTAAAAAAATTTTCTGCTAAAGGTAAAAAATTATAGTAATTTGTATATAATGTGCAGAAAATTTCAATTATAATCTGTTCATTTGACCAACAACATATTTGAATTATTTATGTCCTCAAACAATTTTATTATATTGGTGGTAAACGTTTTGTTCCGTTTCAAAAGGTCTCCAAAATGCCATGTTGTAGTAAACTATACTCGAAACCATATTAGTAAACAAAATATCCCTCTTATTTCTCCCTTTCGCAATTGTAAAATGAATGATTAATAGAAAGTGCCTATAATAAATTAAAATTACCCGAATCACACGCATTGCTGCACTGCACTGTTAGGTCATTTGTTGACAACTGAATTTATGGCCAAGTCGCCCAGTGCGGCTGTGTTTGTACCGCGTTTGCCCGCGAGCTCATTCTTCAACTGGGCGACCAGACCTGTATATGGGTATGGCTAAATAAATATGGGAACAAGTTTTTCAGAAATTTCAATACCGAGTTGCTGCATCAGCGATCGAACTTGGTACATACTGCCAACCCCATGGTTCTTCAATTGAGATCGGAAAGACTTATACACTTAAATTTGACAAATAAATTTACCAACTTATTGCAACATGAGAAAGTTGCCGCAAATATACCAAAATTTGACAATTCCTAGAATAACTTATTTTGTAAATTTGACTTGTTTTTTTTTTATTTTTTTGTGACATCTGAAATCATCGGATTTATTTTAAGGCGCGAATTTTTTTTACTAGGTACTTTTATCACTGTGACAGTGGCTTGGAAATACTTTTTAGTAGAATATGTAGGCAAGTACTTGCCAATGCAGTTAAGTTCATATATTAAAAACATGATATATGTGGCCACTAAATAAAATCACTGTTAAACAATGGTTTGGCCACTTTCCAGACATAATGGGAAAATGGGGGCAATAAAAATGTAACATAAAAATCAATATTAAGATTACAGACATAAAATATCGTAATAATTTTGGTATAATAGCTATTTCTCACGTTTAGATTTACGCACAAACTCACTTGCAACGTGACCTGGTTAGTAAAAAACAAATGAAGTTCAAACAATACTAAATTTTTCTGAACAAAATGTAGGTACTTACTCAATTTTTATTTTTTTACTCTTAAATCTAATAACATGATGTTACTTTATTTTTAATTCTTAAATACCAATTATGCAAAGAAAAGTACTTAAATAGTTTATACGAAAGTACAAAACTGGTTTTTTTCTATATTAACTTAGGCAAATATCGAGAATGAAAATACACGAAAAAAGCAAATAGTTTAAAACAAAACACACCACTTGAATAAATAAGTAAGGTCGAGTAGGGCCTCGATCGTCACGATAACAAATTTGTAAGCAATCCAGGGTTGCCAAATCGAAAGATTAATACCTAAAACTTTGTACGGAGTTTGTACTAGTATAATACATTACAGTTTTCAATAAATATAATAATACAAATGCAAGGCAATCACATATTTAATAATTCAATTATTGATTAAAATCGATAAGGTCAAACGTAACCATAACAAAGGTGTTTGGTTTGCATCAACACGATGTTTTTGTAAACGGCATATCTTATCTTCCAATTAAGACGATTCAATATGACTAAAAGTTAAAAAAACTGAGTAAATTTTTAGGAAGATTAAATCAAACAGTCCTCACACAAAGTCGAGATTAATTTACTTAAATATGTTATCTTTCCCAGAGATAAAATGGCAGTAAAAGCGCAAAAAACAACAATAGGTGATACCAAAAACCAGCTCGTAGGTAATAAAAGAATTAGGACATGAGGTAATATATGAACAAAATTCGGACGACTAATGCAATGACGCCAATGATGTTTTTTTGTGGATAAATATTTTCGACTTAGGGTCAAATACCTCCAAGTCGATGTTATTTTCATATGAACTCTTGAGGACGTGCAACATTTGTTTGGGTAATTGACGAGTAGCAGTAATATTTGTTGTGCTGTTTTATTGCATACTTCACAAACGTTTCGAAATGTTGATATAATCACGATATAGATGGAAACTTTTGTTTAATGTGCAATAATACGCACCGCCTTAATCTAAAAATTCCAAGGGTTTGATTAAGTTGGGGAAAACTTGTAATTTGACACATTCAAAGCGATCATGGAACTCTCAATTGTTTTTTGCGGTTTAAATCGCTTGCAGTTCATAGAAACAAGCTATGTAAGATTTATTAATGCAAAACAGAATTCAACACAAGTTCTAAACCCTGTTTATTACAGCTTTCAATGGCAAAACCTCAAATTAATGCAAATTAAATGCTATTTCATGGCGAAGTTGGGGACCAACCTTTGCCAATAATTAAATACCTGCTTTTCATGACGCCATTCTAGTTTCATCTCAATATTTTATTACCAAACGTTCAAAGAGCCTTAATTTATTTGCAGTTGGGTGCAATACAGAAAATCCAGGTTGTCACGCTTAATTAAATCTAGTTTTTAATGCAACTCATCTTGAACCATCTTTATTACCGAAGTATTTTAAAAATAAATAGGGGGCTATGTATGCCAATATAAAAATTATCTTGGATTAAGTTTAGATAAAATTTTAAGCCAGGGATTAACACATTTTGATGCGTACAGTTTTGAGTTTATTAATACCTCGACACTTGAGCAAAAATAGAAAACAAAAGGCTTTTTAACAAATTAATAGACTTATCTAATGGGTTTTTAGCTATAAAGGTTTATAAAAATAAAGTTTCGTTACATACCGTTGTCACTTTTTTTACTTTATCTGAGCTTTCAATATAATTTAAATGCGAACGCAACATTTACAGGTCAGCATTAATATCATAGAAATATTTATTATTAATCTCAATTGCATATTATTTTAGTTATTTAAGTTTACATCTATGTACAATCGAAAACTGCCCTAAACCAGTTCCACAGACTCTCACATATCTTTTCAACTTCCCAGTAACACTCTTAAATCAACAACCTTACATAACGTTACAAAAATGTGACCTTTTTTTACTTCAATGATTAGGTGGACCTCTTAAATTTACCAATTCCAAACCGGTATAGCAATGTCTGACTGCCAATGGTATGTATCAAGGATACAATAATTATAAAGATAAAATATTGAGAACAGATAACAAAACATTATCGTTAATGGCAAGCAATAAAACTAAGTCATATTACTGAATATTGCTAAGGTCTAAGGCAATTTAAACTTTGATTAATTGTGTCTCAAGACCAGAAAATTTGATAATTTCACTGTTTAGTAAACAGTAATTGTCAACAACATTATCACTCCGATGAGTCAAATGAAAAAAAAAAAAAAACAGTTCTGAACATGGAATTTCCCTGAAGAAACAGATATTCGTGAAACAAATATCTATGTACAGTAAATAGATTTTCGCATTTTTACCGTCTAAAACTTTGTGTTTATACTTTAAAAACTGCATATTACCTATCTACTTATTCTCAATATGTATCTAGTTTTGGTTTAACATATGGGATTTGGTTACTACTTATAATAAACCTCAGAATGAAATGACCTTATTGATTATTAATTTATATATTTTATTTATAACTTCCAGCCTTGGTTTTTAAATGACAAGCAATCAGTTAAACTGAGATGTATCGCAATGATCTCGACACAAAAAATAAGATCAAAGAAGCTACAATGCCGTACGTTTTAAATTGTTTAACGACTGTCACCGCTTGACAGGAAGCCAAAATTGAGATAAAAGTGTAGCTCTTTCACTCTTTAAATGGCAAAAAGCAGGACTTCGCAAGATATTAGCAATTTGCAATCTGTCAACAAGTGAGGAAACGTAACCACACGCCGTTTTGAAAGGGTGTGCCGAATCGGCACTCACAGAAGCCCGACATCAACGGCAAAAAGACTAGAAACCGTCATATAATCGTTAGAAACTCGCCTCGGCAGCGGTATTTAGGTTTAGAGAGGAATGCATATGTGAATATAGTTACTTTCTAGTCCTATGCGGACAAATTCCAGGGACGCAAGATCCAAGCTGTCAAATACACATCTCACGGGCTTAGAAAACTTCACTTTACACCGCTTGCTCCGTACAGGTATGCACAAAACACAAAAATTCACTCCTGTTTCGAACACAACACAACAAACTCGTTATGGAATTTTTTCTTATCGTAAACAGTACACATACACAAGCAAACGACGAAACACAAACTGCGAGTGCCACGACTAGGGCGCCACCGCCATTATTGCGTAGAGAGAAGGGGAACGATTGTTGTGAGCCGATAGGGACCGAACGAATGAATCGGACCGGTGGACCAGACAAACCTTAAACGTGAATGATTTCGTGACTCGACTTGTATTGGAATTGGGGAGCATCGAGAGCTCAGAAAGCCTTTGAGCCGAGTTGTATTTTAATTAATGAAGTTCTGATAAGTGGTATTTAGGAATTAATAAATAATTCATCTAATAAAAAAGCGGTTCCTGCGTCTCATGGAGGTGCAGTGATTAGTAGGGCCACTCGCGTTGAGCGCAGCTGCATTTTGACTATCTGAATAGTGGGCATTCTTTTATTCCTTGTCGGATAAAAGTTGTACTGCTTATTTAATTATAATTATAATGATGGCAGAATTGAATGAGATTTTGTGTATTAGGTTATATTCATATCAAGACACATTTATTTTTATCCTTTTTCCGGTTCTTGAAATAGGTATGTTTTCAATGCTTGTTTTTGTTGTAAGTGCCACTAATAGGACTATTTTCGTATTTTACACATTGTTACAAATTGAAGCGGAAGAAAACGGCATGGTAATGGTTTATCTTACGCCTGAAGACTTGATTCTATCCTATCCTAAACCTATCTAAAAAGGTACCTATTTATCTGTTACATACCTACGTAAGAACGTAAGTACATTTTTCAGACTATTAGACAAGCACTTGCCTATCTACATACTTAGGTATTTGCGTATTGTTCTTCCTATGACACTACTAAAATTAAATACCTACTTTAGATTTTATTTGGTTAAAACTGAGTTTAAACTAAATCGAAGAATATAAACACCCAAAATATACACTTTTAGGTCGGCTATTTGGCACATCATATCCGTTTATTACTATACCTACCTGCGAGAACAAGCTTTGTTAAAGGCATCAGTTCTCAGAATAAAAGCTCAAGTTTGTTTACCGGAAAAAATAAATATATGACTGAGCTTCAGGCTTCATAAACGAATTTATATTTTGGCAGCGTGGTAGCAATAAATAAATATGAGCAAAGCATTTTTTTTATCACGACTGTCAGACACGAGAATAGATCGTGAGGTCTATCCACCACGATTAAGATGAATGCTTTTTATATGTGACGTGATGCTCACAAGGACGAAAGATATCCTTTATTATCCAATATAGATTATGTTGTAAATTCCACAAAAATTATCACGGATGGACTTTCCTCTATCAGTAAAGTTCCTTGTCAATGAAGTATAAAAGTGTAACTTGTCTAGGTTATATCATGATAACTGAAGCATTAATAAATCTTAGATGCTTAGCTACATATTTGGAAGTACCTAGGTAACTTTGTGCATCTGGTCATAGGTACACATAGAATAAGAACTGGATAGATATCTAATAAGCAAGTGCTACAGTAATCGGCAATGGGTACAGCTGAGTACAGCAGTTGCCGAACATCCCAGGATGCTTTGACCACAGCAGACAAACAACATCCAACTTTTGTTTGTCTTATGGCGCCATACTGCGATTTTGAATTAAGCAGGTTTAATTTTCATTGAGAATGTCAAAGTTTCGCATGAAAATAAGCGAGTTATGCTTATTGGTTAATTAGTTTGAAGAATACCTATCTGGATTTGTTCTTTGAACTTTGACACTGTTAATGAACATTATTAGTTGTTTGAAAAAGTAGGGTCAGAATTATATTCTAAGAGGGTTTAATTTAAAATGAGCTCGGAAAGTGAAGTATTGGAAGCAGCACAAAGTGCTGTTTCACAATTAACCACCAAAGAATCGTAGAGACAGTACGTTATTGCCTACAACGAATTCAAATGAAGAAAATTTAAAAAGTGTCCGATATTCCATGTTAAAAAGTATACAGATTGCCAAAAAAAATGTAAATATCAGAAAATTTCCAAAACCAATACCATATTTGAAAAACAAATCAGTTGGATGCCGCTCGAAAAAGTCCAGAATTCTAACGAAAAGGAAAATTGAACGATTTTTACAAGAAACACCTTACAATAGATTTCTGCTAGAAAGGGTAATTTAAATTAATATAAATCCATCGAATTGGTGTTTGTGGAGCATTTGAAAATGGATGGGTATTTTGATTTAAACGGAAAATGTACAGTAAGCATGTTTGATTTGTTTCACAAAACGACTTGGAACTTTACCGATTAAGAAAAAATTCAAGTAGGTGGGTGGCTATGGTACATAAATAAAATATGTACTCACTGTGTTTGTATTTTAGGATGCACTTCATTCACTAGGAATTAAATGAATACACACATACGCAGACAGAATTCATTATCTCTCGCACTTCCTCTTGTATCTTTTCTACTTCCGTTACTCTTGACCCTTTAGATTAAAACTGTACTCTACCGTCCACTGTAGAGGTACAATCTACTGTGGATTGTGGACAGAAAATAAACGCAGTTAGAAATTTATGCGAATCACATAACGGGGATGATTAAACATACCTAACAAGTACCTAAACGAATTGAAAATATTTTACTTGTGGTTAAATGGTTGAAAAGAGATATTAATATACGGAATTTGTCAATAAAACACAATATTTATTGATCATCAAAACTTATCATGTCTCCTTCAAAATAGGGTCCATTTGAAGCAATACATTTTTTCCAACGAACAACCCGGTCGTTAAAGCACTTTTTAAACGCATGTTCCGGTATGGACTTCAACTCCTTCAGCAATTTTTGTTTTATGGTTTCGATCGAGTCGAAGTGGGAATTTGGGTTTCGGAAAGAGGAAAAAGTCAGCAGGAGCCATATCTGGCGAATACGGTGGCTTCTATGTGATATTCGTGAGTTTTTGGTTAAAAATTCATTCAAAATTATCGCTTTGTGTTATGGTGCAAAATTCAAGAATTGTCCTTCCATAAATCTGGTCTTATTCGGAAAAAAAAAACATTGACTGATATAAGTACTACATTCTAAATCACTCTACTGGCTCATTTACAATTATTTCTTTGGTTCAGTTTGACAGGAGTGAAGTACTTAATAAAATTTTAAATCAGTATAATTTAGTAATGAAGCTTACAGAAGCCGAACGAATCGAAATTTTAATCATGATTGGTTGTGGAGATAAAGAAAGGACTCAGACAAGTTCGTAATTTATTGCTAAATACCCCAATCGATAACCTGTTTCTCAATCAGTAATAAGTAGGATTGCGAAAAGATTCGAGAAACGGCCCATGTTAGAGATCTTCCCAAAAGTGGAAGAAAGTCAATTCCTGAGTCCAAAAATCTTGTCGTAGTACTTGCGTTTCAAGAAAATCCTCATACTAGCTCAAGACAAGTTGCGCTCGATAATAATTTACACCAATCAACTGTTTTTAGAGTGATACTAAAAAAGTGAAATCCGTACAAAGTTCATCTGGTCCAAGAGCTGTTAAAAGATGACTTTGATAGAAGAATCGAATTCTGCGAAACCATTATGGAACAATCGTTAGACAAGCTACTTTTATGCTCAAGGGCCACGTAAACCTCCACACATATCGATATTGAGCAAGTGAAAATCCACATTGGATGGAGGAGTCTAGCACACAATATCCCAAAAAAGATGACTGTATGGGCCGGAATTATAAACAACCAGATTATAGGACCATATCTTTTGAAGAAGACTTAACTGGTCCTAGATATCTAGAATTTCTGCAGGGTTATCTGTTGCCACAACTGAATCAGCTATTTCCAAATAGAAATGATTTGTGGTTCCAGCAAGATGGGGCGCCCCCACACTACACCGTTGATGTAGGAACTTACTTAAATAACGTTTCCCGTGGTAGGTGGATGGGAAGGAGGCCACCAAGGTTTCCAGATCTGACTCCACTAGACTTCTTTTTATGGAGAAGACCAAAGTTTATCAAAGTCGATCAAATAGTCTAGAAGAGTTAAAAGAGCGCATAGGAATGGAGATTACACAAATAGCCCCTGAAGTTCTAGAAAACGTTAGAGAATAATTTACTGCCCGAGTGCCCGACTTTCTCATTGCGACATTGCTGAAGGTTAAGTAAGTACATAATTTTGGTTGACACTGTAGAAATAAATGTTCAAATAATTATACCGTTGGATGGACGATTAGGAGACCTTTCAAATGAGGGGTCTCATGGTCCCTGTTTATACAGTGTCCCACTAAGGTCGGCAAGGTACAATATTAGAGAAAGTATAGGCCCTAGAGCTTCGGGAAAAAAATTTGATGAATAAATCGACCAAGAGAAATCGCTGGAAATAGTTTTCAAATTCATAGCTGGGCCGCTAGGGGGCGCAATCTAGATACCAAAACACAGTGTTGAATTTTTCTCAGAAATGTTTCCTATTCAGGTACATCAAATAGTACAAATATGGATAGCCGGGTCCATTGCGCATAACTTTTGTTATTGACATTTTCTACAATATCACAAGATGGCCTTTCAAAATTTGAAATTAACGTGTTTTAGGATTTTTTTCAAAAGTCGTCTTTTTTTGAAATAATGAATTTATTCCATACATTTGCATCATACTGTATATATGTCTATATTTCACAACGCTGTTCTGACCTCAAAAGCTACACTTTTCTTTAAAAAAATCTCAGAATAAAAGTTCGCTTATTCCGCATTTTTATGCCTAACTTTCCTGGACTATACAGGGTGTTTCAGAAAGACCTCCCGTAAATTCAGGGGGTGATAGTACGACAAAAAATAAGATTGTTTTGTCTTATGAACTATATGTCTATCTCCTCTTGTTTTCGAGATACAGAGCGACAAAATAAAATTTTTTAAATAGAATTTTTACGAAAATTTCCAAACGGTGCGAAATACTTTTGTGAAATTTGGTACTCCGGGGTTTGTAAGGACGCCAAATCCGCTGGTCTAATTATTTTTTGGATATTTCATAGAGGGCGCTAGTTACGCTACATTCCTATTACATTTTAGGTTCTATTTTTTTTAAGGTTAGGTTTTTTACCATTCGGGCTCCAA